CGTTAGTGCCTTGCCGACCTCTCGCCTGCTTCTGCTGCTCCATCCATTCATCCTTGCCACGCTCGGGGGCCCTATGCTACAGTTCACCTTCACAGAGGGTGACAGGTGGTTAGCTCAGTCGATCCTTTAGCATAGTCGAGCCACTGCTGGGGTAGCTCGGGTTTAAGGAGACAACAGTGAAGTCAAGTGAAGCAAGAAGGTCGGTGTAACAACCCAAGTTTTCAGATAACCAAAAATCATAACTTAAAATTTTTTCTAAAACAAACCCATGCATGGTGAATGTGCATACTAGGAAACCACCCTCGTAGTTGCACAAGTAGACCCCAAGTAGCATGATTGAGCATTTGCATCATAATCAACTTGTGAGTTGCTTCTTCTTGATTTTATGTGATGCAATAAAATCAACTAAACCCTTATAATAAACCTGACGTGTGAAGGTTGCCAACCCTTGGCTTGGATCCTAGAAACCCTAGATGACCCCTAGTGGACCCCACAAGGGTGCATATATGTTGGCAACACATGTATACATGCATAGGAGCCTAAGAAGTATGATAGAAAATAGAAAAGGGTTTGGAAATAGGGAAGAGATAGGAAAAGGGCAAAGCAGCCCTATAGCAGTAGGTGGCCTAGCCCTGACCAATGCCTCGCCAGCCTGCTACGCAAATGTGGCCCAGCGGCCAGCAGCCGTCGCGGCCCTGCTTTCCACCCGCACCCGCGCTCACACGCGAACCGCAATGGCCCACCAGCGTCGCAGCCCACGCCCATGCCCCACATCGCAACGCGCCGCTGTCACCTTCCCCTCTGCCACTGATGGATGGGACCCGCTTGTCATCCCCTTCCTTCATTCTCTGCTTTTGTGCCGAGGCAGAGCAGCGACGCCAGGAGCGAATCTTCCCCGCCAACCATCTGCGCTCAGGCCGTTGGCAGCAGATGCATGGATGCGCGCGACGTCCAAAATCCATGATGCCTATTCCTGCCCTTAGCTCATGCCCGTGCCACGTGACATCACCGCCGCAGCCCTGCACCGCTGACACCACCGCGACCTTCTTTTGACCGGCTATCGTTTGAATTGGGAGCGCCAGGCTGCCACCGATCCTACGTCGCCCTCGAAAACCCTAGCCTAGAAGCCCTATCCACCCTACACATGCCCCTCCATCTTCATCCACCGTCCGCCATGCCCACCATAGCCGGGCATGGCTATATAAGCTGCCTCGGTGCCCTAGCGCCTCTTCGCATCACCCGCCGCCACTCTATGGCGATCCACCTACCACGTTCGAGCCAGGAGAAGGGAGGAGAAGGTAGGAGGAGAAAGAAGGAGCACCTGAGCTGCCAGAGCCATTCATGGCTACCGGAGACGAAGACGACGCCATGATCGCCTTCTTCCCCATCGTGGTTCGGCACGACACTACTCCGACTCGTCACAGCCTCGACTCGCCACTATGCCGCTAGCCGATCACCCTCAACAACATGGTGAGCCCCCATGCGACCCCTCCCTTCTCACCACCATGGACACACCATGGTCGCGTCGTCGTGTTCTCCCCCTTGGGAGGGCCAAAGGTCGGGCCTTTTACCGTTTTGCCACGCTGCACATGCGCACGCACGAACACAAGGTATAATGAGCACCTTTGTACTCGAGAACGCTGGTGCCACTGCAACACGCCTGCCGTACTCGCCATGGCCAGACCCCACCATGGTGTAGCTCTGTTCTAGCCACCTTAGGCCGATAGAGGTAGAACAAGCACCTCATCAAGCTTTGCCTCGCCGAGTGATGCATCATGCACTAGATGGGAGAAGAAGAGGAACCCCAGGAGCCACTGGTCATGTCCGCCTCATCAGATCGCTGCACGCTCATGCCGCCTCCATGACGGGGGTGTTTCGGCCAACTCCGGCCGCCTCGTGTGATGAGATCAGGCCGTCGAGCTTCGCTGTGACCCCACACACCTTACCGTGTAGATGGTTGAATGGGAAGACCTCGCTTGCCCAAGTTCATCATAGCTGCGAGCTCGCCGGAGCTCCACCACCCGCCCTGTCGTGGTGCGGACTCCGCCATGCTTTCTAGTCGCCGTCGTTGTGTCGTTTAGCTTCCTCGTCGCTTTGATTGAAGGAAAGGAGCAACCTTTGGCTCCAATTGAGGCCATGGCCGCCACACCATAGCCTACCATCACCGATGCCTCCATGGCTAGCCCCACCAGAGCCCTTACAGCTTTGGCTAGCACCCTAGCCGTGCTCACTGGAGCACCAGGAAGTGGAAGGACCCCTACTGGGGCCTTGCCAAAGCCCCATGTGCCTTCGCCGCTGACCCCGCACTGCCACGAGCTGCCTCGTCGCATACGCCGCGCACCTAGAGCCCCAAGCCGCCACCTTTAGCCCCTAGTTGTGTCACCGTGGCCCTATGATGCCATAGACGCGTGAGCTAGCTACCATGTGAGATGAAGGAGCTGTCGAGAAGCTGCTCGGTGCACCTGGTTCATCGTGAACTGATGGAGGAGGAAGAGAGATGGGCGTGGTCCACCATGGACCCTGTCTACGGTCCATGGACCCATGCCTTGCTAGCCCACCGTGAGGCGCGGTCGTAGACGCATGCCCAATAACAGCCCGCCAGCGCCACGTGACTAGCCTAGTTGGTTAACACGTGTCTGGGCTGGGCCAGCCCATCTTGGCCCAATACCCGGCCCACTAGGCCCAATCAAGACCCAGTCAACGTTGACCGTTAACCGGTCAACGCTGACCGTTGACCTAGTCCCACCTGTTAGTGATCGCAGCCACCTCGTCCAATCAGGATGCGCCACATGTCAGCCCCTGGTTGTTCCTATTCTTTTTCTTTTTCTTTTTCAAAAATATGATTTAAACTTAAAAAATTCATAGAAAATTCATACGACCTCAGGAAAATATGAAACCAGCATCCAAATTTTTCTAAAATCAAGCTCTATGTCATAGGCTTGTGTTTGAGTGCATTTGGATCTTTTGAATTTCTATTACTTCTTTGTGATCATCTATAGGAGTCGCTTATCGTGGCTTTGCGTCTCGTTTGGTAGACCCAGAGGAGGAGCAGCCTGAGGAGGACTACGACTACACCGACGACCTAGGAGACGACCTGACTACAGTTGCCACGTCCCTCCCAACCTCGTAGAATCCTATTAGACATGCAATAATGTAGCTGCTAGTGCTTTATTTTATGCAATGATCTGTGTTAGGTTGCATGGTAGATTTGCTTGAAAGCCCTTGCCTTGATGCAACCTTTACACCTGCACACCCGTTGTTAGGATAGACGCTCGCATACTACTTGGTACTTGCTTCTACTATGCATTATATCTGTGACATGATGTTTGGTGGAGGATTGTTTGTGAGTGGCTAAGGCACATGGTGCCGCTAAAACTGGTAACAACTTGGGGAGATATTGGCATGCGTCTTGGGTGTGTGGTGAGGGTTGGGTCGATCGAGCAGGATTCTATGATGAGTCTTGGGACGAGTCTTGCCAGGGGGATGCGACCTGGGCATTCCCTATGAGAGATACCTATGGCGGGTACATGTGAGATACGGAGGTCTCAGGGTGGAGTGTCTTCGTGGGATGAAGCCCTGGGATGGAGGTGCCATCGAGGCACGAGGCATCGGTTGGCCCCACGAGAAGATGTCTTGTTCGGTCACCCTAAGAACTTATACATTCTGGGAACCGGTTCATAGGAATCCTTGCACCCCACTCGCTTCCATCGGAGGAAGACGGATGACCGACTAGCTAGGACGATGCCACTACTACTATGCTGTTAGCGGATAGTGTAGGGAGGTATGGGCATGGACCCACACCCTCCTAAGACAATGTAGTAACCTCGTGGGGTGCAGTACTATGTCTCACAGTCTCGGTGTCTTTGGTGGACTCGGGGTGGCCTAGGGCTAAGTGGTAGGGTGGCATTGTGTTTGTTGGAAGGCATCCCGAAATCATCCTAGACGAAATTTGGATCGTTCATGATGGTGATCTTGTGGACGGTGTAAACCTATGCGAGTGTTTGGTTGATCGATCGATACATATGTTGTCTTTTTCGACTATGGACTTTTCCTGTGTTACCGCTTCACTTGACTAGAGAGAGGTGTCCTTTCTTCTTCTCCCCCTTGGGTTTGTTGGATTTCGGTGGTTAGCCGCTAAGGCAAGGTGCAAGAGGGAGTCGTCCTTACTACTAGAGAGTGATAGTGTGGTAAGATGTGTGTGATGGGTGGAAAACATGTGTGGATGATATGGGTTAAAACTTGATGAATTATTATTAAAACTTGACATACTTGCACATGAAACTACAACCATAAATAGGTCTTTTTGCTCTACCTTGCATTCCACTTACCACAAAGCAACATAAAGCATAGGGTGTGAGTCGTTGGCGATATAAATCGTCTTGATAATTGTTTGGCGTGTAACGAACTGAGTACAACTTCGGGAAGATGGTTGGGAGGATTAGGGGTCTTGTTCCTACGCTCGAGTTTGGTTCGCGAAGATGGTGTCAACGCCCACTGCTGTTCTATCTTATGTTGTTCCAGATGATGTGTGCTCTGAGTAATTCGGCCAAGTGGCGATGTAATAATGAGTAAACCTTGCTATTTGTACTCTCTTTAAGACAGGTATTCGATGTATGACTGTGATATCGACTGTTATTGCATAATATGATGGAATGATCGCCTGGGACAATCACGTTATACTTCGTACCTATGGATTTCCCTTCATGAAAATCAGGATCGTTTCAGTCGGGAGGACAGGGCTTATCTTGGTTTTTGTTGTTGAAGAGGTGGGCCGGCGAAGGAGGTTGGCAGGCGGGTTCTGGCTTAGGAGATGGCGCTTCTGGGTGGATGGCCCGGCGATGGCCTTCCCTCATAGGGAAAGGTCAGAACTCACCTCGATTGGGTCAACCCCTTCTGGGGGGCAGAGTGCCTAGATGGAGGGGCCAGCCCAGCCATCGCTGCCACTAGGAGCCTTGGCTGCTCCCTCCACCGGTGTTTGTGTGTGATTTTCTTTTGTGCAGCTGTTCAGCTCGTTCATGGTGATGATAATGGGCAAGACGGACGAAGAGAAGGCAGAGGGGAGGAAGCAGTTGTTTGCCGCGGTAGAGACCTTGGAGGGAGCACTGAAGGAGTGCTCTAAGGGGAAGCCCTTCTTCGGCGGCGACAACATCGGGTATGGGGACATAGCGCTCGGAGGCTTCGTCGCATGGGTGAAGACGAGGGACCTGTTGTCTGGCTTGAAGCATTTTGAGGCCGACAAGACCCCACTCCTGGCGGCGTGGCTGGAGCGCTTCGGCGCATTGAACAAAACTCAGGCAGTCATGCCGGACGTGATGAAGCTGGTAGAGCTCTCAGCTGCAGCCGTGGTCCAAGGTAATTGAAGTGGCTGCCGCGCCCATCTCTCTTTTGGAATTAGCTTGGACTCACCTATAATGTTGTTGCATCCTCTCAGATACGATTGCAGGCGGGGCGGGTTGTTAGCGTAGCCCGCCCGCTCGCCCCGCAAAATTTATCTTCGTGGCTATTGTGGCTTAGCTGCGATTTCTTTGTGGCCCAACGTCTTTCAACCCGCCGAGCCCGTTGGACAATAGAGAAAACTGTTAGAACCCGCATCTCCCGAACCCTACCGCTAGTGTCGTCACGATAGTCTGGCATCGGGCAGAGGCTCTATAGCTGTTCCTCCACAACGACGAACACCAGCGGCCCACAGCTCGAGGCCGTCGTCGTCGTCGCAACTGCCACGCGTGCCTCATCCTCGAGGTCCCCGATGACGAGGCCGACGAGGAATCCGACGAAGACACCGGCGACGAGTTGCCCCTGCGGCCGATGAGCCGCTTCCACAAGGCCTGCATCGACGTACGTATCGTATGTATATATGCGCCTGCACGTACGTATTTTCTAGTGAAGAGATCGATTTGTCATTTGAGAGCTATAGCTAGCAAGCTAACTGCATATGCATGGATCGATGGGCGCCTTCATGTCGACGGCGCTCGCCACGCTCCAAGATGGCACCGACAAGGTCAACTGGTTCGTCGTTGTGCCGGTCATGTGCCCGTTATTATGATCTTGTTCCTGTACCTCGCAGCTTTCTTTCACTTGTTGGCCACCAGATATTTGAGGGATGCTGTGTGTGCGGCAAGCCCTGCGGGTTTTGCAGCTAAATATATTATGTCCGTGGAAGGCTTGTCCCGCAAAGTAGATAGCTTGGTGACTAGCCACAAACCTGCCAATAAACTTTGTGGCAAGCGATGCGGGTTAGCGGCTGGCTACGAACCAACCCGCCTGCAAGCTTACTCTCAGAATGAAAGAACAGCTATATGTTTTGTTGCCCCTTTTCAGCACACAAAACAAAAGGTGGATTAGTTTTACTGTTACTAATTTTAATTAGAGGTTCTATGTAAAATTCTTAAGATACGTGCTAAATAAAAAAAGATAATTTCTAAAAGTTCTTAAAAAAATCAAAAAGATCTTTGTAAGGCTTTAGAGTGTAAGCGGCACTAGTCCATCTGTTCTACACAGTGAATGAACCACACACTTTCATCAACTCACTTGCATTTTCAACTTCACCTCTTGAAAAAGAATAAACCCGGAGTTGCGGATGACATTGACTCTACAAGGCTTATATAGTAGTCTAGTCCACAATCAACAACTAACCAAAGGTGGAACTACCCCCACAATCTCACATTATCGTACAAATGAAGTATTATGGGCCAGATCTAATCTCCACTAGGATGTCACACTAAATAACATTTTAAATTTGCATCTAAATTGCCCACTTATGCTACTATTAAAAATAAACTAAAAAATATCTTATTAAATGTAAATCTAAATCACCAACTTTTTCTACTATGAAAAAGTTTAAATAACCAAAACTATGTACATGTATTTGTTTCTAAGTTATCCACTTCTATGGCTACTACTCTCCCTCAGTTCCATGTTATAAGACATTTTGGCTTTTTTTATATACATGGATTTTGCTATGTACTTAGATATAATGTATGTCTAGTGTATGTCTAGATACATAGTTAAAACAATGTATCTAGAAAAAGTCAAAACGTCATATAATTTAGAACAGAGGGAGTAGTACATAGAAGAAAACTTAAACTGAGAATATACATGTTATCACATTGTGCCAATCAAGTATCCATGCATGAGCAATAAATATACATTACTATTTTTAGTAATCATGAAAGTTTAATAGTCCCTGAATGATTCATAAATCAATAAAACCCATGCTAATAATTTGTGCAATTTGTAACTTTCAATAATTACATTTTCATTGAAACACATTTGCACAGCCTACTCCGAAATGGGTGAGGGACTGAGGATACTTAGGCTCTATTTGTATACCATCTAATTATAATAATTGGATTATGTAATCAAATTTTGATCAAACAAGATTGATTATATGATGAATTATTATAACCAAAACTCTTGATTACCATAATCACATAATCCAGATGAGACCAGATTATAGGGGACTATGGGTGCTAAAAGTCCAACTTGCCCTCTAATTGGTTGTCCAACTTGCGATTACATAGGAGTTTCTCACTTTAACCAACTATAATCAATCATCATTTCCATGGCCCAAACACTCCGATTATTATAATCCATAAATCTTTATTATAATAACTCTATGCATAATTTAGATTATAATAATCTATCTACAATCCAAATAGGGCCCTATATTAATAATACAATATGTATGTACTTTTTTGAAAGAAAAATATACTACCGCATTAACCTTCTTGTGCAGTGGAGAAAGTTAGTGCCAACCAAAGGTGGCAATGACATTCTTGGTTTTCAGACTTCTATGGAGTAATAAGTAGCTATTTTTAGGCTTAAATATCAATATCCCTTGAGGTTAGTATGGTTGGCCTACCTTAAATCTCAGTTCAAGCTATACCATCAATTTACAGTGCCATATGGTGGGGTCATGAAGGACAATTTAGGTTATTGTTGTAATTTAGCGGGAAGTTCAGTACATAAAACAATCATTTTAAGAGAAGGGACTTGCTAAAATTAAGGACGTTCTTGGAAGCTTTAGCAGATTTGCCTCACCTCGCCTCGCCTAGATGGCTCAAGCCACGAGGTGCTTGCCAGCCCGGACGAGCCAATTTGGCTCTCCCTGGGCAGCAAGGAAAACCTTGCCAGTGTGGGAACCGAGGCAGGAGAAGTGCAGTATCCAAACAGCTTTGCTATGTCTAGTTTCTTACTTGGCTGGGCAAAACAGTGGTAGGCAAAACAATGTTTGGCAAAGGTTCTAAACACGCCCGTATTGGCAAGCTTCTCCCTAGGGGGAGTCTACATGACGCCCTTTCACGGACGACGTCGTCTGACGCCGATTCCGCAACTTTACAGGTTTGTCCCATTGTCAGATATTTTGTGGAAATATGATAGAATTGATTTAGGCCCCGTTTAGTTCTGAAAATTTTTGGCTTTGGGCTACTGTAGAACTTCGTTTTTATTTGGCAAAAATTGTCCAATTATGGACTATTTAGGCTTAAAAGATTCGTCTCACGATTTCTCGGCTAACTGTGTAATTAGTTTTTTTTTTCGTCTACATTTAGTACTCCATACATGTGCCGCAAGATTTAATGTGACGGAGAATCTTGAAATTTTTTTGTTTTTGGCTTCTAAACGGGGCCTTAGTCAAATGACTTGCACTACACTGCATACATACACTGACAAATAAATGCGTCGACTCACACGTCTCTTGCAACCGACTGGAAGCTTCTCTATCGCCGGATGGGATTATTGATGGCATAGAAGAATAACCATAGCATTTTTCTTCGATTCATAACCAACGTAAAAAGATCTGCAGATTGTTCAAATGTCAGATTATGCAACTGAGGAAAAAAAAAACTAAACCAGAAAAAATAAACGTGATATGCAACCAGTCAAACACGTACTCTAACCAAACAAAGGAGTCGTCGTCTCAGCCGAGGTTGCTATAAATTTGTAGTCATTTGGGACTACCTCCATTATCTCTGCATATACAAAAACACAAGCAACAATTAATCTTAGTCGGGAAGCTTGAGGTATCAGCAAATGGCTGGAGGAGATGAGCTGAAGCTGCTGGGCTTTTGGGGGAGCCCGTTCGTTCTGCGAGCGAGGCTCGCCCGCGAGCTCCTTGTCCAGTCCAACCCGGTGCACAAGAAGGTTCCCGTGCTCATCCACAACGGCAAGCCCGTCTGCGAGACCCAGATCATCATGCAGTACCTCGACGAGGTTTATGGTCCCTCTGTCCTCCCTGTTGACCCATACGACCGGGCCATGGCCCGTTTCTGGGCTGCTTACATTGATGACAAGGTACATACCATCCTTTGTTTAAAATTAAAATCCCATGCTTCTTGTTTTCAGCCGTGCGTTTGATACTCGACAAGTAGTAAGTCTTAGAGAATGAGAAAGCAACAAACTAAGTGAATAATATGTAACCTGTGCTAGTGTAGCTGTTGAGCTCGTTGATGATGATGAGCATGGGAAAGACAGAGGAGGAGAAGGCGGAGGGCAGAAAGCAATCGTCTGGTGTTTGTGGAGACCCCAGTGCCGGCCCTGCAAGGGTGAACCGGGTGCAACCGCCTAGGGCCCACCGGATGGAGGGGCCCAGGCCCAGGACCCGAGGTAGTATACAGCACCGGCGGGCCTTTAGACTATGCGATACTGCACACTACAGACCGAGAGAGAGAGAGTAGAGACCCCGGCCGGACCATTAGGCCCTTTAGGCCTTTGCACTATGCGACAGACGGACAGAGAAAACAGAGGGTCAGAGTCAAAGGCCCTTTAGGCCACATGGTCAGAGTCAGAGGCCCTTTAGGCATTTAGGCTTTAGCCTTTGCGAAACCTACCGCCTACCGGACGTAGGGACTCAGGCCACTCGGTGTCTCGGCCACTCAGGAGTCGGGACGACGGGACAGTCACGCGTGCGCCGCCGGCCGAAGGCGAAATTGCGAATCGCCCGCCGCAGTGCGACTACCGACTGCCAACTAGAGAGTTTGCGTCACCGTGCATGTGCCGCGTGCGGCACTGCAGCTCCCGGGCTCGTCACCGTCTCGTCTTGTCGTCTCGGACTCACGGCACCGCGCACGGCAAGGCAGCGATCAGACCCTAGGTATTATTTTCCTTGATCGTTTTTTAATCTAAATTAATTACATCGGACTTCTAGTACTCGGTACTCATATAGTCGTGTTTTTCTTCTAATTTAGGTGTTAGAATCTTAGAATGTTACCTAAGAAACATTTGTCGGGGACTCAGAAAAAAATAGAAAAGAGTAGAAGATCAATTTATTGAATCTCAAAAAGGTGCTATACATAAGTTTTTTTCAGCTTCAAGCAGTGTTGTGCCTGATGATAATCCTGTAGATGCACTTGATATTAAAGAACAAGGGCAGCAACAAGTTAATGATAATTTAAGTGAACAAGTTGATGACATTGAAGATGCTACAGAGAATGAAAATTTACAGCCTTCCTCTCAATCTAAAAATTCAATTGGTGATGTGCAAGAAGCTTCTATTCATGATGTCTTTGATCCTAGAACTTGGGGAAATATTGATAATAAGGGTAGAGATATATTGATTGAAAATGGGCCGGTGAGAGAATTGAATCTTGAGTTTTCTGCAGATGCTCTTAATAGACGTTTTTCATAGGCTTCCTACTCCAGAAAGTTAAGCAATGGTGAGGATTTTCATATGCTCTTAATAGACGTTTGTTATAGCTGCAGATTGCTATCCAAATGTTTCAGTTGCCTATCGAATCCTCTTAACTGTACCTGTGACTGTAGCTTCAGCTGAAAGATGTTTCTCAAAATTAAAGTTGTTGAAGAATTATTTGAGATCAACTATGTCACAAGAAAGGTTAAATGGATTGGCTATCTACATCATCGAGAGAGATATCTTGGACACTATTGATCTTAATACCGTCCTTGATGATTTTACATCAAGAAACGCCCGAAGAACCATCTTTTTATGAGAAGCAATAAATATTATGTAGTTTTATTCTTCCTTAAGGTAATCATATAGTTTTAGTCTATATTGTTCCTTGATAATTATTAAACATGTTA